TCACATTCCAAAGGATGAGAGGTCCAAGCTTGATAGTAAGTCAAGACAATGTATTTTTCTTGGCTATGGGCGTGATGAATTTGGATATAGATTGTGGGATCCGGTCGACTAAAAAGTCATTCGAAGCCGTGATGTTGTGTTTCTTGAAAACCAAACAATTGAAGACTTTGGCAAAAGTGATCAACCGGAGCCAAAAACTAGTGATCTCATTGACATGGATCCATCTCCTTCATCTTTGGTGGATGATGAAAATGGGGGAGATGTGCAGCCACCTATTGAAGAAGTGGAGGATGATGCTAATCCTAATGAAGTTGAGCCAGAAATTGAGGAAGAGCATCCAACTCAAGAACCGCCACCACAACTTGAGTTGAGAAAATCTACAAGGGACCGACAACCTTCAAGAAAGTATCCTCCCAATGAATTTGTGTTGATTTCTGATCAAGGGGAGCCAGAGAGCTACCAAGAAGCAATTGAACATGCAAAGAAAGGTGATTGGAAAAAGGCCATGGACGAGGAGATGAATTCTTTGCTTGAAAACCAAACTTATGATTTAGTGAAGTTGCCTAAGGGAAGGAAAATTTTGAAAAATAAGTGGGTTTTCAAATTGAAGAATGATGGCAATAATCTGAGGTACAAGGCACGTCTTGTTGTAAAAGGCTTTGGGCAAAAGAAAGGTATTGATTTTGATGAAATTTTCTCGCCAGTTGTAAAGATGTCTCCTATTCGGGTTGTACTTGGCATGGCTACAAGTATGAACCTTGAAATTGAGCAACTTGATGTGAAGACCGCATTTCTTCATGGTGTCCTTGAAGAAGAAATTTACATGGAGCAACCGGAAGGTTTTGTAGAGAAAGGGAAAGGGTGATCTTGAAGAAGAAATTTACATGGAGCAACCAGAAGGTTTTATAGAGAAAGAGAAAGAGAAATTTGTTTGCAAATTGAAGAAAAGTTTGTATGGTCTCAAGTAAGCCCCGCGGCAATGGTACAAAAAATTTGACTCTTTCATGATGAATAATGGTTTTTCTAAAACCACTTCGAACCATTGTGTGTTTGTGAAAAATTTTCCGAATGGTAAATTTATTATTCTTTTGCTTTATGTTGATAACATGTTAATTGTGGGTCAAGATTCTACCATGATTAACAAGTTGAAGTTAGAATTGAGTAAATCTTTTGCTATGAAAGATTTGGGATCGGCAAAGCAAATACTTGGTATGAAAATTGTTCGTGATCGCAAAAAGGGACTGATTTGGTTGTCTCAAGAAAGCTATATTGAGAAAGTTCTTGAGAGGTTCAATATGGATAAAGCAAAGCCAGTTAGTTGTCCACTTGCGGGTCACTTCAAGCTTAGTTCGAATCAATGTCCTACAAGTGGAAAAGACAAAGAAGAGATGTTGAAAGTTCCTTATGCTTCAGCAGTTGGTTCTTTGATGTACGCCATGGTTTGTACAAGGCCGGATATTGCTTATGCAGTTGGTGTGGTGAGTCGTTTTCTCAATAATCCGGGTAAAGAACATTGGGCAGCAGTAAAATGGATTCTAAGGTATCTTCGAGGGACTTCGAAGGTGTGTTTGTGTTTTGGGGATGGTAAGCCGACGCTTGATGGGTTCACGGATTCTGACATGGGCGGTGATATTGATTCTAGGAAATTTACTTCGCGGTATTTGATGACTTTTGCAGGGGAAGCTGTGGCATGGCAATCTAAATTACAAAAATGTGTTGCTCTCTCAACTACCGAAGCTGAATTTATTGCAATTACGGAAGCTTGCAAAGAAGAGTTATGGTTGAAGAAATTTTTGCAAGAGTTGGGTTTGAAGCAAGAAAAGTATGTGCTTTATTGTGATAGGCAAAGTGCTATTCACTTGAGTAAAAATTCTACTTTTCATTCGAGATCGAAACACATTGATGTAAGATACCACTGGATTCGTGATGTGTTAGATTCAAAATTGTTACAACTCGAAAAGGTTCACACGGATGATAATGTTTCGGATATGTTGACGAAGACTTTGTCGAGGGACAAACATTTAAAGTGTCGAACTTTGGTGGGTATGGTTGATTTCTCCACCTAAGTCGGTAGGGGGAGAATTGTTGGGTATACCTCCTTATTGGAGTGTGGGACCCAATTGGTTTGTTAAAGAACTTTAATTTGGCTTGGTTTAGGTATAATATATTATTATATATTATATTTGTGGAGACCCAAATCAATTTGAATACAATTAGGGTTTGATTACAAAACCCAATACCCAATTATATATATATATATATTGTTCAATATTTGAGATAGATATATTGGTTTTCACCAAAAGGTGTTATACGGCTGCCATTCTTGGTTTTTGTTTCAAAAGGTGAGCACCCAGCATGATGATCATGGTGAGAAGCTGTGGTTTTGATTCGGTGGTGGCGTGGTTTCGGCAGCTTTGGTGAAGTTGATTTGGGTTAATTATTTTGGGTCTTCTTCAACTTTGGTTCTGAAGATTTTGGTTCATCTATTTGGTGAGGTCTTTCCTCTTTGTTTATTTGTGATTATTTGGAATTCACCTAAAGGTGGTTTTGTGAGACCATTAGTGTCTCGTTTGTAATCGTTTGGAACTTATTTGGTTGATAGTGGAATCGGATTTCGATCCCGTGGACGTACCTCATATTGAGGGAATCACGTAAAAATTCTTGTGTTACCTTTGATTTAATTTTTCGGCATTAGTTTTTATTCCCATTGATTGATTTACTTGTGGGGAATCACATATTTTCCTTAACAGTGGCACCATGTGGACTCTACCATTGATATGATAGTTTGGCCTTTGTTTGTTTGTTTATTTTTTTTTTCTTGCACTGCCAACTCATTAGAGCTGGCATTTGTGCTACCATTTTAGAGCACTGAATCAATACCGAAATTGTTTTAACAGAAATGATAGACAACTTTAGAGTTGGGGTTCTAAAAGTCCGGATCCTTTGCCATTTTTGCTTGTAGCTGTTTCTACGGTGTCCCAAAACGACGTCGTTTTGGGGCAAAATTTCAAAAAAAAAAAAAAAACACAGCATCAGAAATCGAAGAAGAGAAAGGGGAAGAAGAGCCAAGCACATAGGAAAAGAGAGAGAGAGAGAGAGAGAGAGAGAGAGAGAGAGGAGAAGAACACCTCTTCAAACCCAAAACAAGAAAAAAGTTAGAAACCTAAAGAGGTGTTCTTTTTCTTGAAGCCCAAAACAAGAAAAAAAAGTTAGAAACCTAAATGCATCCTCTGTTCTTTTTCCTTTCATTTCTATTGATTTGCAGAGAAACAAAAGGTACCCAGAAGCCAAACCAGAATGAGAAAGCTAGTTTTAAGACCAAGCTCTAGAAGGGTTTGTTTGGTTTAATGTAATTCCCATATTAGAACCCATAGATCAAAGGCTTGAAACACAACTTTAGGCAAACCCACTTTGTTTGTTCAAAAAATAAAAAACAAATTTGCAGAACTCTATGAATGAAATTGAGGGATTCTAAAAATAGTTCAAAATGGAAAAGATCCACTATCTAAATGGATTCATTGTGCTTTCGTGTTCTCCCCTCCCTGATTATGTGAATCCCAACTCCGGCTAGTCCAAATCTGTTTCAATAAACGAACAAACAAGGCTGTTGGCGGATTTAGTGGGTGGGCGAAAAGCGAGGGCTGCGACGGTGGTGGAGAAGCAGTGGGAGTTTGCCAGCGAAAGAGAAATAACATGGGCTCTGTTCGTTTGAAGGGGTTTTTCTTCTCCTCTCTCTCTCCTTATGTGCTTGGCTCTTTTTCTTCTCTGATTTCTGATTCTGTGTGTTTCTTTGTTTTTTTTTTTGAAATTTTGCCCCAAAACGACGTCATTTTGGGGCACTGCAGGGACGGTCATAAAAAATGCGGTAGAGGATCCAGACTCGGGGTTCTAAACCCAACTCTAGTGATGTGAAATTTTTTTTAACAAAAAAAAAATTAAGATTAAAACATCACATTACATAGAGCTCATTACATGGGGCTCATCACAAATTAGAGCTATCTAGAGTTCAAAAATTAGAGGTCCCAATATTTTTTCTTGTTTTAATTTGCTTTTTAAAGTTCGGATTTTTTTAATCAGTAATGATTTAGAGCTCTAACTAATGGGCTCTATATCCACTACTAGTGAGGTGAAAAATGAAAAAAAAAAAAACGACACAGCACACACTGTGGTAGTGGGTGGGATTCACTGTCACATCATTAGTGATAACTCTAATTAGTGATCCAAAGCATTATTATTTTTTAATTTGGAATAAAAAGTTTATGGTAATTTTTTTTTACTTTTTAACTTTTATAAGAAAAAATGTGAAACAATTATGATTTGTACATGATATTTGTCTTATTAACTTATTTAATATATTTAATCCTTTATATTTTTTTAATCTCAATTGAAATAGCCAAATGAAACCAATAAGCCTAGTTTAGAAAGTAGAATTTTTTTATGGGTTTGGTTATGGTGTGCAACTTACACCTTACACCTTATACCTTACACTTACACCTTACACTTACACCTTTTGTAAAAAATTAAACCTTACACTTACACCTTTTTTGAGGTTGCACTTACACCCTACACCTTACACTTACACCTTACACTTACACCTTATACTTATACTTACACCTTACACTTACACTTTTTGTGTAAGTGGTACATGGTGTGTTACACATTTTTTGAGGTTGCACACCATGTGCAACCCACTTACACCTTACACCTTACACTTACACCTTACACTTACACCTTATACTTATACTTACACCTTACACTTACACTTTTTGTGTAAGTGGCACATGGTGTGCACTTGCACACTTAAGAAAACTCCTAATCATAATCATGGATGTTTGATTTTAAATGGAAGAAACACAAAAATCCCATTATTCTTTATAACTTTTAGCATGCCCGGGTCATAAATTTAAATTTGAATTTTTTTTTTTTCCAAAGGTACACTATGTTCAGATCTGAATCCATGACGATCGTATCGAAAGTCGAGGGATGAGTGAAAGGAACCGATGTCCACTGTCCGTGTTGTGATGATCGGATTGAGTGTTCATGAACAGCCTCATCGCTCTCCTCCTCTGTTCAATCTCATTAGAAACCATGTGAATGTGTTGGAATCGTGGAGATAGGGGTGTGTTGTGTTTGGTTTGGTTTGGTTTGGTTTGGTTTTGACAGATAAATTTTTTTTTAAAAAAATTGGAAAAATAGTTTGGAAATTTTTTTGGTTTGTGTGGTTGTATATTTTGGAAATAATTTTGGAGTGTAGAAGTTTGGAATGATTTGATATTTAGAGTATCTCCAACGGTTCAGTATTTTTTTTACCAAATTTGAGTAAAAAATGGCTCATTTTTTCAATCTGATATCAGTTGCTCCAACGGTGCATCAAAAAGAAAAAGAAGAATCATCCCGTGGGTCAACCGGTAAGGCATTTTTTTTTTTTTTTACCTTTCTGAACTGTTTGAACTTACCAATTTTTGAACCATTTGCTGAAGCTGGTCGACCGGTTGGTCAACCGGGTGGTCGACCAGAGGGTCGACCAGGTGGGCATCTAGGTGGTCGACCACCATTTGTAAAATTTTGACAAATTTTTGCTTTAACGACTATGCACAGTGTATTGGTGACAATGTTGAGAAAAGCGTTTTTGAGATGGGTTTAGTTTGTTCTTGTAGTAGTAATAGTAGGCGTGAGAGTGCTGTTTGGTCAGAGAGCAACGAAGAGAAGTCTCTGGATTTGGAGACCTGTAGTAGTTTCAGGTCTGAGGACTCGGAACACATTGAATCTGTAGCTCAACCCATTGAAAATGGAGATTTTTCCTTTTGTGAGAAGCACTTCTGTTCAAGCCCTTTAAGTCCTTTTCGATTTTCCCTCCAAAAAAGCCCCTCTTCCGGTCATCGAACCCCTAATTTCTCGTCGCCGGCGACATCTCCGATCCACCCCAACAAACAGGTAATATATATATGGGCCTATATTTTGGCTTGTGTTCGTTGTCCTTCTAATTTTAATTGCCTCAATTTTATAATTTCAGTTAGCTCGCAATTATCTCAATTTAATTTAATTAATTATAATTATTAATTTTTTTAAAATACACATATAAATGATATGTATTATATTTTTATAAGGTTGTAAATTTGTTCAATTAAATGAGTTAATTTTGATTATTTTAATAATTATTTTTCTTTAAAAATCTTAATTAGTGTTATTAATTAGATTAAATGGACATAAAATTTAAAATTAATAATTAAAATTATAAAAATTGAAATAACGCAAGAAATAAAAATATAAGATATGTATGACTTAAAATTCAACTGGGTTTTATTCAAAATTATGCAAATCGTTGTGAAAATGCTAAATTTCTTGTGCCTTAAAATTCAACTGGGTTTTATTCAAAATTATGCAAATCGTTGTGAAAATGCTAAATTTCTTGTGCCAACTCAGTGTGAAAATGCGAGTGAGTCGTGACTCAGTTGATTGAGTCAGACGTGTTTGAATTGTCGGCGAGACGAACTCGCTCTGGGTTCATTGGCCGGAATGTCGTCCTTAAATGACAAAATTGTCCCTAAACTGTTTTTGGGTATGTGATGAATTCGAAGCTGATGGAGAGGGTTATTTGTGTCATTTCGCATTTACCATCCCTCTCATGCTCTGCTTGTTTGGTAATTGTACTTTTTTGATTACGCCTCTGCCACGAAAATCTTTTGTTTATGGTCCCTGTCTAGAAAATTATTTTCTGAAAAGGACAAAATCCATTTTTGTTCTTTTAGTTGGACCCATTATTTATAATAATCCGACACTCTTTAACCATAATCACTGTATTAAACTATATATATATATATATATTTTAAAAAGTAAAAAATTAGTGCACAAGGTCAACAGTCAACACTTTTCATGGTTCGTGCAATTGATAATAAAAACAAAAATTAAAATCACATCGGCGTAACTTATGTGAATTGCTTGCAATATATTTTTTTTATTTCAAGAGTATGTGTCAAATTATTTGATATAAATTATTAAGCAGAAATAATTTGGCCTCCGTTTGAGAAGTGGGTTGGCTTTTTGGCTTTTTGGCTTTTTTGGCTATTTTAGCCTGGGCTAAAAAGTTTGGTTTGGGAAGGGCTTTTTGGCTTTTTGGCTTTTTTGATTTTTCATGGTTCGTGCAATTGATAATAAAAACAAAAATTAAAATCACATCGGCGTAACTTATGTGAATTGCTTGCAATATATTTTTTTTTATTTCAAGAGTATGTGTCAAATTATTTGATATAAATTATTAAGCAGAAATAATTTGATTATTTAAAAGATGGGAAAAAAGTTTTTAGCTTAGAATAAGAAGTACCAAACATGCCCATCTTTTTCCCTGCTTAATAATTAACCAATTTTAGATTATTTAAGTTAAACTGCCTTATAAGCTAAAGGTAGAAACTGCTAACATTTTGGTACAAATTTTCAAAAAAAAAAAAAAAAAAAAAACTATATGCAGATCCTTAAGGTGCACTAAATAGGCCATGATCTAAAACACCATAATTTCATGTTTTATCATTAATTATAATCCAACTATTGTTATTACATTGTCCTTACTAATGATTATGATGGAAATTAATAGGAGAAGAATTGTGAAGTAAAGAGCATACAAGAAATAGAAGAGGAAGAAGAGAGGGAACAATGCAGCCCAGTATCAGTATTGGACCCTCCATTTGAAGACGATGAGGACGATGGACATGAATATGAGGATGAAGATGAGGACAGTTATGATGTTGAATGCAGCTATGCAATTGTACAAAGTAGGTAACTATTTACAGAAATTTAAAGCTTCGAATTTGTTCCACCATTCCTTATTTTGTTGTGCAGCCCTTTTCAAATTGTTGGGTATATTTGCATTAGACATTATGATTGTTAGCTTAGATTGAAGGGTTGTGAACAATTGCTTATACTGATTTTAGAAGATGAATTTTTACATGTGGTGTTCCATCAAAAGATCCGACGTACACTAGTACGTGTGGTTATAAAAATGAAATTGTCAAAACTAGTACATTAATTTATGATAATGGGGACCTCATTTTTTGTCCATGAAAAAAAACAGAGGTTGCTAAGATGGTTCATTTAACTTCATGTGTGACCCACATTTTTATATTGTGGTTGTGCTGCTATCTCAACAGTGATATTTCAGTTTGTCGAAACTATTTGCAATCATAGACCTAAATTATTTGAAACTGTTGTGTTTTGTGGGCTTTCAGATCTTGATTTGTTGATGGTTTGGTGTATCAATCTTGTCAGCAGTTTAAATTTAGTGGAACCCATAAGATTTAATGAGCCCAATGACCTACAATTCTCTCATGAGTTTTGAAAATGAAGGAACCACAACATTACCCATTACCCAGATCTTCTGTATGCCTTGTACTTGCTTATCTAGAAGAGGGCTACATTTATTTTGGGGAAAAAATTTCCACCATGATTAGGCTTTATTTAGGCTAAGAACCCTAAAAAAGTGGCACTAATTATTGATACTTTTATGTGTTCAGGAAATGTTGCTCCGTCTTTTATAAGTTACATTTAGAATTAATTTGATTCACATATTTAAAATTTTGGGTACTTTTTTAAATATTTTTTTGGATTCTTAGCATTGTTGTTAGGGTAATATTATCGGTTGTCGTAACTGTCATACTTGATGTTCTTGGCTTAAACGTTCATTTTAAGGGTATTGCTTGTATTCTTCTTTGTCATGGTCTGCACTTTGTAACCATCTTGCACACCTGTTAACTCAATCTGATTTTGTTGATATTGGAACCAGGGGCTCAGCGACAACTATTGCACAAGCTTCGAAGATTCGAGAAACTTGCAGAGTTGGATCCTATTGAACTCGAGAAGAGAATGTTAGAAGAAAGAGAAGATGAAGACCTAGAGGAAGAAGAGGAATGTGAAGATGGCGATTTGCTACTGTTGTGGAGCGAAAAGGATGTTGATTGGTTTGTCAGAGAAGTGCTTTGCAAATCAGGCCTCAATCTCAGTAAGGTTTCAGCAGACATGAAGAGGCTGGTATTGGACCTCATTGCTGAGGAGAAGAGAGAGGGGAGTGAAATTGAGGATGGTGAAGTGGTGGTGAAAAGGGTTTGTGAGAGGTTGGATTCATGGAAAGAGGTGGAACCAAACACCATTGATATGATGGTAGAATTGGATTTCGGAAGAGAGAATGATGGGTGGAAAAGAAATGATCAAGAGCAGGTGCGAGGGACTGCAATGGAAATTGAGATTGCCATCTTTGGATTGTTGGTGGAGGAATTATCAGAAGAACTTCTTTGCTTATGAACTGGACTTTCTTGGAGAGACTTCATAGTTTCCCATCACAAAGGGCAGTCGCACTGCACGAGACTTTCATTACTGTAAGATCTGAGAAGGGGTGAATGTGCGTAATCTTACCTGCATGCAAAGAGACTACTTCTGTGATTTGATCCCTTGACGTTCAGTTGCAATAGAGCAAATGATTTTTGTTTTTTGTTTTTGAATTTTAATCGGAGGATCAATGGATCATAGTCTGACTTGTGTACTGTGGGGAATACGCTAGTCAGTAAAGCAAGATGATTCTAGGAGGATTGAGTTAGTTGATAGTAGCATGGTATCATGTATATGTATGAGGGAATATGTATGCACCCTTTGCTTAATGAGACATGAAAATTTCAATACATCCCTTCCCTTGAAATTGTTGTTTGAATCATAAATTTAGATAATAATTTGTGGACGAAAAAGAAAATGATAGGAAAATGTGAATTAAAATTAGCTTAATTATATATTTCATTCACCATTTTTCTTTTTTATTTTTTTAACATAAATTTCTATTCAAATTTAAAATTCAAACACAACTAATTTAATATTTGTTTGTGTGAGGGAAAATTATTAGATAGTTCTAGAGTCCTATGTAGCATTGTTTTGATCATGAATTTTCATACGGATTTACAAAAGAAAAAAGGAAAATGCGAGGGAAATGAAAAAAAAAATATAAAACTTATATTTCATTTATATTTTTTGTTCACATTTTTCTTTTCGAGATAAATTTCTAACCAAATCAATAATTCAACATAGCATAAATGGGTTGTACTTTGCCTCCTAACTACCAAACAAAGGTAAATTAGTATGTTCTACTCATAAAATCTTTGGAAATTGGCTCAGACCCCCACTGGGGGTGACCACCAAGCCCCCAGTGGGGTGTGATTGGTTTATATATAAATTTTTTTGATCCAATGGCAAACCCCCACGTGTGTGGGGGTGGTGGTGGGGTCCTTGGAGCTGGGGGTCTCCAGCACGGTTCAAAATCTTTTGCTACGGATTTGTTTGGATCGCTACGTAGATATTATCACATAGTGCTTCGAGACTATTGAATAATTATGTGAGATGGAGTACTTCATGTTAGAGCAATCTTCTGTATAAAACAAATAACTTGAAACAAATTAAACAAATACAAATAAATTACTTACAGAATTTATTTTACCGAAATGAACAAGTACAAAAATAGATTAAGTCGAGCGTGTGACACTCTATCTTTGAGACAGATTCGCCCCGCTTTGGTGCTTACGGATAAATGGCGTCTATCTCCCAGGATACAATGATCTACACAGATTGTAATAGCACTCTAAACAATCTGTACGGCGAACAAAACCTGTGTTCTATACTCTCAGATATTTTTCCTAAGAACTAGTATGAAGAACAAGGCAAGCAAAGAGCAAAAACGAGAAGAGAATTATTTTTTCTGTATGTGTCAAACTGCTAGAATGAGGGTCTGCTTTTATAGGCAATTAGGTGCCTTTTCAAAAGGGCTGAACATGTGCAATACAACCTGAACAGATGCTGTCTTCAAACTAAACAAGTGCGGTGCAAGTTTTTTCAAATATGTTTGAAAAATCAGTTTGAATTTGTCGAAAACTACTGGGCAGTTTTTAATCTATTGGGAATTTCAGATTGGAAGAGGCACAATTTTGGACAGAAAATTTGAATTCAAATTTGGCGGAAAAATTTGCATTAATTTCCTCCACAAAAATTAATTTTCCCGCAAGAATTTTTGAAAAAAGTTCAAATGAATTAATATTAGGACCGACCCGACCCACACTCGCGCCCCGCACGACTTGGCCGGACGGCGGCTTGGGTCAAAGCACACTTTGTTCATAACTCCTCCCTTCTACAAACTAGGGGTGCCCCTTGGGTGGGACTTATATATACACATAAGTTCTCTTAAGTTTTCAATGCGGGACTATCATTACAAAGAAACCCACATTTTATTCTTTAATAGTTTATTTCACGAACTTGAAAATGACGTCAATTTCTCATTCATTCATAAAAGGTTTTTGATGAACCGTTTTCACCATGTGGCTTGTCATGCGGCAAAGAACACGTCACATTTTTTAACTGCCCCAAAAGACATGTGGGCCCCAGTCAAATTTGGCCTCAAAATTAGTCTAAAATAAGCCTATAACAAACCACAATATTTCAGAATTTCATTTTGCTACCAAACACAAAAAACACTTTAAATGCGGTTGATTCATTCTACACATGGATATCACAACATACTCATTCAATCTCCGCCACACACCCAAATTTTGAGTACAAATTTGGATCCAAATTCTGAGATCTCAAACTTCCTCAGCATTACTTTGGTATGCCAGAAGACAAAATATAGCAAAAGAAGAGCAAGAAATCATACCCCCAACAACCATGTGAAAGCCTGTTCAAAACAAAAAAAAAAAACAACCATGTGAAAGTAAATTCTTTGACAAAAGTTTCAGCAAAGAATTAGCTTCCACTCTGGAGTGAAAACAACATCAGAACTTTACTACGGATAACTAACTAGCATCTCTCTTTTTTCCGCTTTTATATATGTCTATTTTTTTTATCATATACTTTATGATTGCGGACGGTTAATGTACAATATATAATATTCACCAACATCGACAAATACCAAAACTGGTGCACTTTTCTTTATTTATTGCTTGGTCATGAAATTTGTGATATTTTCTAGTACTATGTAACTAGTGATCGGACCACCATCTAACTTTGCATGATTGACCAAGTCTAAATTAGAGATGAATTATTTGATCCATTTACATTAGATAAATATTATGTACACTATTTTTTTACCACATATTCTTTTACCTACTCACAATGAGAGTAAGAGTCATACATATCATGCATTTCACTCTCATTGTAAACAGATGATAAGATAATGTGTTCGTAACAGGATCCTTTTACATTATGATAGTTTAGTAAATGAGGAATAATACAATTCTTTTCATATGATTTGTGGAAGGTTATACAAATAACATCTAGACAAATAGAAATTGAGGTAAGGGTCTTCTGGAGTTTACGTAGTGGACTAGAAACATTCTATTATGTGGATTTATGACGGATCCCACTTTAATAGTTTATTTTATAGACTTTTATGCATAAATCAATTATGAAAGAATTAGGCTAGTTTAAAATTATAATCACTTAATTGTATAATATTTGTTCTAAAAGATTGGATGACAAGTATGATTATAAAAATATATCATTCATTTTTTGAAAGTCAATATAACGAAATCAGGATTTGATTATGAAATCAATTTGATCTTTTCATAAAAAACCTACGCACATGGACTTATATGATTGAGTAATTCGAAATTTCAAAGTGATACCTATAAAACCGAAGATATATTGCACCCTAAAATTTAACCCAAACTAACGGGAAATTTTATTGCTCGCTTATTTTTTTCTCTTACACTATGTTAATCATTTATTAAATAAATCACACGATTTAGTTTGATTTAAACCACTTTACAATTAATGTCATTTTAAAAAAAAATAAATAATTACTCTAGCAAAGCTGCCACTACAAGCTTTCATTCTCTTCCAAAGTAGAACTAAACTTTTAAGCATTTATCACCAATAACACTAGAGCATTAGTTTCATTAAAGTTCTCTACCACTTCCATGGAAAAGCTTCATATACACTCATCACCATCAAAGGGAAGGAATAAAGGACAGAAAAGGCCAAAAGATTTGTGAAGTATAACCCACCTAATGATTGGAAATCCCAACTTTCTCCCTTCAAGATGAAGCAATTCTACAAACTACAATATCGATATGGCCCTTTCAAATTATTTAGTAGACTTTCATATTGCCTCTTCAATCTTCCTTAGTCAAAAATAATTTAGTACTATAATTTTTTTTTTTGGTAATAAAGATGCATCACATTAAAATAGGTTTTTCAATACAATAATCTAGACTACTTGATTATGTTAGAATTGTCATACATCTGATTAATGTAGAAGTGATTCAACCACTAGACCATTAAATCTGTTGCCTAAGGCTCACTAAGAAAATCTCAAAAAAAAAAAAAAAATTGTCGAACACCTCAATGCTTTGAAACAATGGAAAAAAAATTATTGTCGAACACCTCAATGCTTCAAAAGCATGATATGACAAGACCTTATTTTGATATTTACCGAAGATTAATTGTCTAAGATTTAAAACTAAATGAGCAAAACTTGAGTGGTTTAAAGATATAATGTGAGATACATTAATAGCCTCTTGCATGTAAAGGTGATAGAGAGATAAATGAGATGAGAAAAATAAGTGGAGACTTGACTCATATGATCTCCTAATATCTAATCCTAATATCAACTTTTGGTGATTTTAATAGACAACGCAAAACAAATTTTTAAAAAGTTTAATTGGCCCATTTAGTAATTTTATTTTACCTTACAAAAATAAAAAATAAAAAATCTCAAATACAACTTTTAAAAAGTAGGTTATTTTATTTTATTTTATTTTTTTATAGCAAAAACAATAAATAAACTAAAAAGGTGAAGTTCTACCAAACGCTCTTCATAGCCCCAGCAACAACCAACACACCTTTCTCGTTTTACCATAAGGCTGCATTTTGCTTTCTCAAACGGGCCCATCTTCCTTTGCAAAAAAAATAGATATGGAAAAAGCAAATAAATTGATTCCTTCACTAGATGGGTGATATTAGAGCATCACAAAAGTGGTTTAAAATGTGTTATATGACAAGAAGTGTTAAAAATAAGACTCATTTTTATATGTTAAAAATTGTTAGTGTGTGTGGGCATTGCAATAAAAATGTTAAAAGTGTATTATGTAATAATGAAATTCACTTGAATGACTTTCCATTCAGATTTGTCATTTTTGTGGACGACAAACATTCCTTATCCCTTGAATTAGAAGCCTGCTCAAATGAGTTAAAGAAACACATATACAAATTAAATTATTAATTATTTTATCAACTACTCACATATAATTGGTAATTTAATTTGTAACTGTTATGCTGTGTTTGGTTGGGGATTTGAGGAATGATTTGGAAAGGGAAATGAAAAAAGTAGGTGAAATGTGAATAAAACATGCCTAAATTTCACATAATTTCACACATATTTTCTCTTATCCTTTTCAAATCCCTTCTTAAATTTCCCAACCAAACACAGCATTAAGGTCAAAACGTAATCGTGCTAGAGGGATTAATTAGACAAACCATTTCAATTGAGTGAAGTCAATCTTGAAATTTTTTTGAACCATCCGTACATATACTTGTATACATGGTTATTAGAATCTCGATCCGGATCTTACGATTCTACGATCTTACGATCCATTTGAGTACAATTGATCTGGATCGTGTAAAAAATTCCTTATAGGTAGGATCTTTCGATCCTGATAATGG